TTGTAATTATGCACTGAAATCAGGGATAACCTGTTAGTTAATTAGATTTGGTTTGCAAGATGCCTACCAGAGCAGCAATTTGGGCCTTGTTCAAACGGATAGTAGGTGTAGGCAAACACCCACATTGTCTTTTCTACATTGCCTACCATGAGATGTTCCTCGGGAGCCATCGGCATAAACCTAACGACAGATTTCAAAGTTGGAAGAGAAGTTATAACACTAAGAAGGCACCTGTGATGCTGTGAACTATCCCGAGAATCTCCTGCGTACACTCCTATTTTCTCTAAACAACTTCCTATTTCAACATCTTCCTCTCCACCTTCCTTGGGGGAACATTTCTCTGCATCACTAAGACCTTCATTCACAAATCTGCAACGGCTCGATCATTCACATTGCCCTGATCCATGATGATTAGCGAAGAGCGAATCACCTTCGCAAAGCTTCACGGCTGAGAACATATCCTGCACCACCGCTGTGATAGCCTTGCTTGACCATCATTTTGAATTTGCACCCAAAGTGGATAGGTTGATCAGGAGAGTGAGGAAGAAGCATATATCTAAGAGCAGACGGTGATTTGCAATCATGGCCACATAAAACTACCTCAAGTTCTCAAGGATGACATATGTGTCGTCGTCCGCCTTAAGAAACCAATCGAAATCATTCTAAATGCTTGCAATTTATCCTATAGTATTGAGCAACAAGCAAATGTTTCTACTATTAGAGAATTAAGATACACTTTTTTGGTGTAGAAAACATCACTTCGTGAAAGTGGCTTTAGCATCTGCAGAGGAAAACGATTTGAATCTCTTCTTCGAAGTAAGATCACGATATCCACCGGAGTTTACGTCGAAGGACTGGTTCGACACAAAAGGAATGCAAGAATCAAAAACTTTTACATTAACACTTGTGCTTCTTATCGTAGGCAGGTTTGTAAATTATGCCGGGTATACTGCAATGTCTGATTTCTCCACGTTTCTCAGAATATATTTATGCCTTCTCAACAACTTCAGCTTTTAAAATATATTCATGCTTTTTCAACAGCTTCGGCTTCTAAGGCATGTTTGAATCAGCATGAAAAACTTCACATACGTAGGGGTTCTTTCATACAGCTAAATTAGCCCCATGCGGCGAGATTCTTACTGTATTCCTACATACCTCTCTGATGTAGCGCATTTGTGATTTGTACTGTAACTCCTTCTGAAAAAGTTTGCAAGATGATACTAACAAGGGAAGCTACCTAACTTAGCTCGGCCTTTT